CGTCATCATCTTCGTCGGTATCGCTCCCAGACACTTCCTCGTCGCCGTGGTCCGCGAGCTCGTCCTTTTCGCCGACCAACTTCCGCACAAACCACTGGTCGTGCGAGACGGCCAAAACCGCACCGGGGAACGCGCGCAATGCCCTTGCGAGGGCTTCGATACTCGCAAGGTCCTACATCACACCGATTCGTCAGTTCCCGATCCACTCCTCACCCACTCCACTCCTCACCCACTCCACTCCACCCCCATCTCGAAACGTACCAAATGGTTCGTGACCTCATCCAAGATATACACCTGCGGCCCGCCGAGTCCCGCCCTCGCGAGCGCCAATTTCACCAGCTGCCCGCCACTCAAATGCGCAGCGGGCACGTGCCCGACATGCCCGATCCCAAACGCGCCGAGCTGCGCGTGCCAATCGACATTGGCCGTCGGCAATCCCTGCTCGCGCGCCCACGTTTCCAACAACCGCACGGGCGTCGCCGCCTGGACGTGCGGGTCAGCGAGCAACTCGGCGACGTGGGCCTGCGAGACGTACCCCACGCGCACGCCCGGCTCGCGCGCGACCCCCTGCGCGGTGAGCGTGCCGACGAGCAGCTTGACGAGCGTCGATTTCCCCGCGCCGTTGGCGCCAAGCACGGCGACGCGGTCGTTTGGCGCGAGCGCGACCGTGACGTTGCGCAGGACCGGCACGGCCGTATTCGGGTAGGCGAAGGTCACGTTATCCAGGCGCAGCAGGACGCGCCCGGAATCGGCGGCGCGGTGCGCGGCAGGTACGGGCACCTTGAACGTGGTTTTCGGCTCGGGCTTGTCGAGGACGACGGGCGGGCGGTAGTCAAAGTGGTAACCGGCGCGGTACGAGACCTTGAACCGTTTCCCGTCGGCGGTTTTTTCCATGCCGAGTTTCTCGATGCGTTTGGCGCGCGACGCTGCTTGTAAGAGCGCCTTGTCGGAGCCCGTGGACTTTGCGTGCGCGACGTTGCGCTGGATCTGCGCTTGTAGTTGCGCGCGCCGTTTTTCGATGGCGCCGTGTTGACGTAGTTTCGAGCGCTGCGTCTCGCGCTGCACGCGCTCGTAGGTCGACAGGGTGCCGTCAAAGTAGGTCAGGGACTTGTCGCGCAAGACGATCAGCTCGTGCGCGACGGATTCGATCAGGTGCCGGTCGTGCGAGATGAGCACGACGGTTTGTGGCAGCGACTGGAGGTACTGCTGGAGCCTACGCCATACAATAATTTGGCGCGGGTCAGTCTTGGCCTGAGTTGAAGGAATGAGAGAAGGCAGCACGAACCAAATGATCGCCGGCAAATCGAGGTTATTGCTGACTTCGTCGCAAATCAGGATATCCGACGGCAAGAACAGCGACCGCGCGAGGCTCGCGCGCATCTGCCACCCGCCCGACAGGTCGGCGACGCGTTGCGCGAGCCGCGCGTCATCGAACCCGAGCCCGCGCAACACCGAGTCGGCGAGTTGGCGGCGCTCTTCCTCGTCGTACTAACACGTCCGCACAGACAACGTCAGTCAATTGCACCAAGCGCAAATCCGCGGCAAGTGCTACCCGCCCAGCGTACGAACCAGGTTGATCTCCTCGTACAACTCCTCGAGCAACCGATGCGCGTCCATGTCGTCCACCGCCACCTCGTCCACCCCCTGCGCCAACGCATCCACGTCCGCCTCCGCCGCCAACAAGTCATTCCGCGCGGCCAGTCCACGCGCACCCGACCGATGATCCGCGATCCGCTGCGCTTCCGTCAATGCCTTGCGCGCCCTGCGCATCTGAATCGCGCGCACGACCTCGGCCTCGGTCCCGTCCTGCACGGCCGCCTCGAGCGCATCCACGTCGGCACACAGCGTCGCATAATGCGTGTCGGCGTCCAGCAGGTACTGCATCGGCGTCTGGTCGGACGCGACCATGGCGCGGTCCGGGTGCTGGTCGATCATGACGACGGCCAGGTTGGTCGGGAAACCCACGAGCGTGCGCGTCGCGATTGCGCGCATCAAGGTGGACTTGCCCGTGCCGTTGCGCCCGAGGAGCGCATAGTGGCGGCCGAGACGCAGGACGAGCCGCGTGTCGACGAGCAGGTCGTTGCGGTCGACGGTCAGGTGCACGCCGTCGAGAAGCACGTCACGCGGGTCGGTGTCAATGGACTCGGTGTGGAACCGCGAGACTTGCGAGGTGGCGACGACGCGCGGACCTGCACCGTCGGTCGTGGGGCTGCTAGACGCAGAACCGGTCGCGGCAGTCGATGCGGGTGTGGCCGCGGCCGTGGTCTTGGTCGAGGCCGACTTTTTGTTGTTGCGGCGCGGCGGCATCGTGGTGGCGAGTCGTCGTGTTACGTGTCAAGTCGCGGCTGGCCGGTCTTGCAGCGTGTCGTGCTTGTTCTTGAAATGATGTACTTACTGCAAGTACGCCGGTCGGGGGGCCGTCGCGTATATATATTTGCTTGCAGCTGGACATGGCTGGGCAAGGTGGATCCATGGTTCGTGCGGTCGATGTACTGGCAGGTTTGGATGGTCGACCCGGCGGCTCTCGCGCGTTGACGCATCGGCGCGGGGCGCTCGTGCGCGGCGTTCCTCCTTGATGCGCGCCGGTGCCAACTGTGAATAGCAGCAAGTGCTCGTCGCGGTCGCGGTGGCCGTTGATGGAGGCTGGGTTGGCGGTGGTGGCGGCGGTGGTGGCGGCACCGCAAGGTGACTCAATCCAAAGCGCCGATCCGCGGCTGCGCCCGAGCAGCGGTCCCGCCCAACCGAGCGCAGGTGCCTGCCGCAAGCACGACTTGCAACAGGTCTGGCAGCGCTGTCAGGTGGTCGCGCGCGTCAGCTTTCTGTTCGGTCTCGTCGTCGTCCACCACGCCGGCCGCGCGCGCACGACCCGCGATCACGACCGTGCCGACCCCCGTCGCGCGCGATTACCCCCCCCTCTACCGCGCGCACCGCACGCGCTCCACCCCCGCACCCGCACCCCACGCACTCACGCACCATGGACGAGATCGGCATCCTCCCGGCGCGCGCCGCGTCGGCCACGTCGCTGCCCGCCGCCGACAAGCACGACCTGCTCTCGGAACTCGCCGTCGACGACCTGTATACCAAGCTCAAGAAACTCGAGCGCCACCTCGAGTTCCTCGACCTGCAGGAAGAGTACATCAAGGACGAGTACCGCAACCTGAAGCGCGAGCTGCTTCGCGCGCAGGAGGAAGTCAAGCGCATCCAGTCCGTGCCCCTCGTCATTGGCCAGTTCCTCGAAGCCATCGACGCGCACACGGGCATTATCGGCTCCACGACCGGATCCAACTACCTCGTGCGCATCCTGTCGACGCTCGACCGCGAACTGCTGAAACCGTCGACGACCGTGGCGCTGCACCGCCACTCGAACGCGCTCGTCAATGTCCTGCCGCCCGAAGCCGACTCGTCGATCCAGATGCTGCAGGCGACCGAGAAACCGGACGTGACCTACGCCGACGTTGGCGGGCTCGATATGCAAAAGCAGGAAATTCGCGAGGCCGTCGAGTTGCCGCTCACGCACTTTGACCTGTACCGGCAAATCGGGATCGACCCGCCGCGCGGTGTCCTGCTGTACGGTCCGCCGGGCACGGGCAAGACGATGCTCGTCAAGGCCGTGGCGCACCACACGACCGCGTCCTTTATCCGCGTCGTCGGGTCCGAATTCGTGCAAAAGTACCTCGGCGAGGGCCCGCGCATGGTGCGCGACGTGTTCCGCCTGGCGCGCGAAAACTCGCCGTGCATTATTTTCATTGACGAGGTGGACGCGATTGCGACCAAGCGGTTCGACGCGCAGACGGGCGCGGATCGCGAAGTGCAGCGCATTTTGCTCGAACTGCTCAACCAAATGGACGGGTTCGACCAGACGTCGAATGTGAAAGTCATCATGGCCACGAACCGCGCCGACACGTTGGATCCGGCGCTCTTGCGTCCCGGGCGACTGGATCGCAAGATTGAATTCCCGACGCCCGACCGCCGCCAGAAGCGGCTGATTTTCCAGACGGTCACGGCCAAGATGAACTTGAGCGACGAGGTGGATCTCGAGGACTGTACGTTTTCGTGTGTTCGGTGGCGATGATGCGCGAGGTGATCGCAAAAACTGACGCGGTGTGCGATACGTACATAGTCGTGTCGCGCGCCGACAAGCTCTCAGGCGCCGAGATTGCCTCGATCTGCCAAGAGGCCGGCATGCAGGCCGTGCGCAAGAACCGGTACATGATCTTGGCCAAGGACATTGAAAAGGGGTACAAGGCCAACGTCAAGAAGGCCGACAACGAGTTTGAGTTCTACAAGTAAAACGCCGAGCGCGCGACGCGTGGAGCGCGGCATGGCACAGGCGCGGCGGGTCGGTCGCATTCGGTCCGTGGAGGAGCGTTCTGTTTGTTGGAGCGCACCGATCCTGTCGAGGTTCCTGGGCGCAAAGGGCGTTTGTGCTGAAGCGGCGGCAGCAATATGATTGATTTGGTGCTCCACTGTCGCTCTTCGCCACCATGTCAAAATGGTTTTGTGGAAGGCACAGGCTGCCAACACAGGTGTTCAAAAAAAAAACAAAAAAAAAAACGGCAAAAAGCTCAACAGCGCTGCAGAGCCAATCCAGGCCGCCTGGTCAGTCGGGGCCACCATCGCCAACTGTTCATGAGGCACAAGAGATTCGAACTCCAGTTTTCCGGTCTGAATGAAGCCTGCCGGTTCGCCCCTGGTCGTCATGCTTACTTGGTCAAAGCCCCCATCGCGCGCAAACAAGCTTGTTTAAGTTGAGCAGCAAAGAACCGTCGATCCCATGGTGCCTGCCCTGTTGACAAAAAGGAACACTTTTCGAATGCGGTTGAAAGCGTCCTACATGAGCATCTCTGGCCAAAACCTGGTGTGATAGAAGGAAAAGGCAGACATTATCGCAAAAAACGTTCAATGGGGCAGAACGTTGCGCAGACTGCAGTTCGTAAATACAGCACGCCTGACAAAAAGCGCACACGTTGCGCCCAACTTGCGACCATTTGGAGAATGATTGAGGCCTGAGAGATTCGAACTCCCAGCCTTCCGATCTGGAGTCGGACGCGCTACCAGTTGCGCCAAGGCCCCGTGCTTGAAGCACAAAATTGTGAAACACGTCGTTGGCGCAATGAAATTGAATGGTTCTGATGGGCGTGTGAGTCGGCCCGCACGTGCCGGAAGCGCGAGTCACAGCGTCTCCCATGTCTCCCGGCAGATCGTCGCGCAGCGTTGTTGTTGTCTGGCCACGCTTCATTTTTCTCCACCACCGACACCACCGGTCGTCCTCGCCGTCCGCCACGCGGGCCTCCGCCGGTTACGCCGAGCGCATGGCGCCATCGCCCCACCGCCAACGTTCTGGACCATGATCCGGTGAGGTTGCGGGGAGCCGTTGGCCGGCCGCGCGCACCGCAGCGACAACCCATCCGAAGCGCTGACCAAGAGTGACGGCAAACGGCGCTGGCCGGCGCGCGCACCACCTTCGCCGGCCGGGAGTGCCTGGGCCGCGCGCCGGCACGGAGCGACGCGCGCGATGACTCTTGCGGCGCCGGAACATAACGTGGGCGCCGCGCGCGATGTGAAAAAGGGAGCGAGGCCAGCGCAACACTCATCACGTCGCCTCGAATCCCACAATCCATCCTCTCTCCTTCTTCGACCTCCACCAACCAGCAACCACCACGACGATGCTCGTCCCGATTCTCGACCTACCCGCGGCGCCCGCCAGCACCGACACGGCCGCGCGCGCCGCGCTCGCCAAGCTGTCGCTGTTTGCGACCGTGCTCGTCCGCCCTGCCGCGTCCCTCCCCGCCGCCGACCTCGACCTGACCTCGGCCATCATCCCTGTGCCCGTCGCGCTGACGAGCGACCCGGACACTTGGCTCACGACGGCAACCCAATTCCTCGACTCTGGCGCCGCC